AGCCTTAGAAGGTGGTTTAGTTGTAAATTTCTATTGCTGAAGACCTGTCAATCTTCTCAAATGGCAAGGCCAGAAAGGACAAGTAATAAGGGGGACCAGTTTGAGCAGTTGTTTGTACACACTCCACATATACCACTGAGTTTATTCTTTCATATCCTAATGCTCTATTCGTAAAGCATAGATAGCAATATTTATCTCTTTACACCATTGCAGATAGGGGGACAGGTAATATTTCTTACTGTGCATATAGCATCCAGCTATCCAGCATCCATTACCTAGCAGACCCCACTGAAATTCACACTTCTGGGGTGGGTGGGGAAGAATAGAGGGCGGCTCTCTTTTCCCACATGTTAAGATTACTTAACAATTTTCATTATTAAACAAAGAAATAAAACCAAAAAAAACCTCACCCTGCATAAAAGCATGTATTTTTGCAGCATCCTTCCACTAAATTTTTGTGAAAAAATTCAGAATAAGGCGAAGACAAGAAATGCACACTATTGCTGACATCCTCAGATCTGTTCAGACCAAGCTGAATAAGAGTTACTGAAGATAAAGAAACAACCCCCCCCACACACACTGTTTTCCATATCTAGTTTGCTTTGTAAATCTTATTATCACTCCCAACCAAAACTTACCCCAATTTTTAATGCATCCGCTGCCCCCTGGTGTCTCCCCTCTGCAGCTTCACATAGAAAGCTAGCACCTCAGCAGGTTCTCTGCCAGAAAGCCCACATTTAAGAGAAAAGTTACACTTCAGATCAGTGGACTGCAGTTTTAAATGCAGTTCTTTGGCAGACTGATGCTTATAATAATTTCTAAAAAAAAAAAAAAAAAAAAGCAAATTACTAAACAAGCCTCACTCTAGTAAGAGACTGAAGAACAAATGAAACCAGTCTTACACTGAACATTGCCAGCCCAAATTCCTTCAAATTAGCCAGTGCCAACAGACTAAACTCAAGTCCACTTCACTCTGAGAAGACTGTTACAGTAATAGTTGTTTTCCTCTTTTATACCACCTTCTGTACGTACGCTTTTAAACAGCTGGTTATGCAGGGATAGTAAAGCTTTTTATAAAGAACGTTAAATAGGAAAGGCAAAATGGGAGCTAAAATACTTTCCATCAAATATGCACACTATGGCCATAAAAGAAATAAGAGTCAAAGTTACATGGTTGCACTGACAAGATTGATAAAGAAACCTAAACATACTAGCTTATATATGGATTCATTCTGATGAAAAAGATGGAGGCAGATGACACACAGAAGAGCCTGGAAACACACAGCCTCCCACTCATGGAGCATGCGTGGGGCAGGGAGGAGGACTGGTTACCTAAGGTATGGACAGAGATTCACGTATTGGTAAGGCAAGACGCACACTGGATTCTGCAGTTTTCTTAAATTGTGTGTTCATTTTGACATATTTGACTGCTTTGAAACAGCTGCCTTTGAACCAGTCTAGTAAGATGCAGCCAGTAGCTCCAAGAGCAACTTGTTACAATTGGGCTTCTTATTCACAGAAATTAGCTGCAGGAAAGGATTCAGCTCAAGGAGCCAATCCATACGGCTGGATGACATGGTTTCTCCTTTTGAAGGACGAACATAGAGAAAATCTAGCATATCAGTCATGAAAGAGTTTTGAAGGCTTTGAAGTGCAACTTTTCAATTAACCACGCAATCACCTTAGGGAAACTCTTATCAAACAGAGACGCCTCAAGAATCCTATGGGATCTCAGAGGGTCCCAAGAGCTAATGGCAAGAGCTAAAGCTAAAGCAGAGGATCCCCATCTTGAGCCTGTTGCTGTAAACTCTAATAAAAAGGGAGTGGTAGACTGTCATCAAGAGAAAAGTAAGGCAAACATCCACGTTACAGTAAACAGAGCGATGGGGGAAGAAGGATAAAGATCAGCTTGCCGAGCTACGTTGTTCAAGACAGCTACCTAATAAATAAGGGAATCTCTGTTTCACTGTTGAGGAAATAAAGACAATTAGGAATATAAAATAGGTCATAAATAGTAACAGTCCAAGTATCATTAGAAATAGAATGTTCTGTCCCTGTTTTGTAGGTATATTTGACTCGTTTATCCTCAATCTGCTCTCAGGCTGGTTTCTCTACTGATATCTAGTGGCCTCTCCTGTACCATAATGTGCCATAGTTGAAATGACCCGTTATCTTTTACACAATCACTCTTTTCTGGCAAAAAAGGTAGAGAGAACATTTCTGATTAACTGAAAAGTTTTG